TCTTAATGATGTGGATTTGTTTTTGATTTTTTAATTAAAAATAATCTCAATTAAAAAAAATTAATCAAGGGTGTTTATCGTAATTAACCAGGGGTATGAAAATATTTGAGTCATTTTTGAAAGATATATGGTATTTTAGTCATATTCGCATAGTTCCATGGGATTTTAGTAATTTTTTCTTTTTTTTATTGGGACGATCTCATATATATTTTCTTACTTTGTTCATTTACGGAGACATTTTTTTTTTGTGAAAATTTCATTTGCGGAGACGTTGGTTTCATTGATAAACAAAAGTTCTTATTAAATCATACATACTTAGAGCATCTTTAATCATAAACCCCTTAAGGTGTCTAAACTCATTTTTTAATATTAATTTCATTAAAACACCTTTCATTACAATGTCTAAAACCTCATTATATAAAACTTCTCCCATTAAAGTTCATAAACATTTATTATTTTTTAATCATTTTCATACTTTAAGACATTCTTAAAGTGTTATGGTTAAGGATGCTCTTATGCTTATTAGAGCATGATTATAGGTAGTATATATGTTGGGATAATATATGAATTTTATAATATTAACTGTATTGGGATTAATATTAGAACTCCAACTTATTTTGTTGTTGTTTTTTGTGATTATAAGTAGTAAATATAGAGTGGCTATTGGGAAAATGAGCAAATTGATCGCTTGACCATAATAATCAAGTATTCTCCTCAATAGATGCAGAATCATGACCATAGACATATATATAAAGTCCTAGAGCAATCATTCCTCTAATTCGATCATCCAAATTTTGGTAAATGAWTCCAARAGAACAACACAAAGAAGATMAAACARTKGTGGATCCTAAACTTCTAATGATTCTATAATCCATAAACTAGAYTATATGATCTCACTCAGATGAATAACTAACCGGAAACTAGTGGCAGTATCTCTCAAGAACATGATTCCTCTGTTCTAGAAACTTGAAAACTAAATCAATTACCTTAACATCAAGATCCAATCATTGCCATCTTGATGRCCAATAAGGGTAAATCTCATAMTCAGTCTTCCAATTATCCAAGTAAACAACTTTCTTCACAGCCCAGAACGATATAAACAKAGCCAAAACCATAAACATCCTTTCCTCATTGAGGTTCTTAACTCTTACAAGCCAAGAGCAATCCAACTACAGTGTACAAGAACCCAATAGCAAATCCCTCTGCTCCAAGCTGATAATCTGGACCTTTGTAGAACAAACCACCTTACTCTCATCTTCATGATCTCTAACAAATAAAGGCACTTCTCTGATAATGTTATGCATCGTCCCTGCAACACTAAAGAAGTAAACGAAAACGGCGCGGATAACCAAACTCTCTGATCATGTAGAAGCGTTTCTCCTTTAAGAATCTTCTTGATGAGAATCGGAGTCGAGATTATAATCAAAGCTACAATTACACAGATCTGCGTCTTCGTTAGAAACGGTGGTTGATGGATCAGATCTACTCTGAGTTTGGTTCGACGCTCGACGAATTCCACCATGGATTCAGCTAATCCAGCGAAATCTTCACCTTGCATTTGACTCGATTCGTCGTCTAGATTCTCCATCCAAGGATCGATTAGAGAAATCCGAGAGAGATATCGAGAGAGAGATACACACACTCAATTTTGAT